CGGGCTCTGCTCCCAAGGAACCAGCGACAGGACGAGAGGAAATGGGCTCAAGCTGCGCCAGGGGAGGTTTAGATTGGATATTGGGAGAAATTTCTTCATGGAAAGAGTGGCCAAGCACTGGACCAGGCTGCCCAGAGAGGTGGGGGAGTCCCCATCCCTGGATGGGTTCAAAGCACGGGCAGAGGTGGCACTGGGGGCCATGGTTTAGTGGGCATGGGGGTGTTGGGTTGATGGTTGGACTGATGATCTTAGGGCTCCTTTCCAACCTTAGTGATTCCTAGATTTTACTTTGATTATAAATAATCCCGCCACCAAGCCAGGAAACATGAATTATTCCTCTCCCCTTGACTGGTTTAGCGTTGGACTTGGTAGTGTGAGGTTACTGGTTGGACTGGATGATCTTAAAGGTCTTTTCCAACCTCAACAATTCTGTGATTCTATGACTCCTTTTTGGTTCAAAATCCTCCAGCAGCAGCTTAGCACCCTCTCCCTTGTCTGTGGCAACGTCTCCCTTCCCACCCAGGCCCTTCAGGCTCCCAGCTGTTGACAAAAGAGAAAATGCCTGGGGGGGCAACGACGTTAAAAGTGGGATTGTTGAGTTTGGAGGCACAAAACTAAGGTTTGAGCACCAAAAATGTCGCTGCAGAGGAGGGAACGGTCACCTGTGCACTGAATATCAAAACTAGGGTGAAATGGCCTGAGCTTGCTCCTCGGGTTGGGCAACAGGAATGTTTCTGGCGAGGGAGCCGTGCCGTGGGAAGCCAGCGACGTCTGTCACTTCAGGGGCGTTGGGACCAGTTTGGAGACACCCCCAGGGACAGCCCGTGCTTAGCCGCTCGCGCCCGGCTGTCTGGTTTCAGGACGTAGCGCTCTCCGTACGATCTTGTACGACGATGCTCTGCACAGCAAAGCCATGGCCGTACTCCTAAGCGCAGCGTGTTTTCTTCTCCGCAGCTCTTGGGGCAACTGGAAAACACGGGACCACCTCCAGCCGACAAAGAGAAGATCTCATCTCTCCCGACAGTGACAGTAACTCAGGAACAAGTTGGTAGGTGAAATCAGTTGCCCGCGTCCGATGGCACTTTGTCTCCCGATGCTTTGACGTACGCACCACGCGCTCTCCCGCTCCCTCTGCCAAGGATCAGCCTCTCCACTGTATCCTTGCGCTTCCTGGGCTCAAGTGCGCCAGGGGAGGTTTAGATTGGATATCGGGAGAAATTTATTAACGGAAAGAGT